TGTTGAATTTTTTTTACATGGGGGCGGCAATTACGGGGCCTCCCCCACTGCTCCAGGCCCCTGCTCCCTGGGCCCCATCCACCTCCTCATGCTGCTCCAGGTCCACAGTCCTCTCATCCATGTGCCACTATTCAGGTCTCCTCACACGCTGGTGTGTTGAATTTTTTGACATAGGGCGCTGGCAATTACGGGCCACCCATCAGCTGAGCCCAGGCCCCTATTCGGCCTGGGCCCCTATACCGCATCCTCGATCTGCTGAGCCAGTCCACAGTCTCCTCATGCCATTGCCACTTTTCAGGTCTCCTCACACTGCTGTGTGTTGAATTTTTTGGACATAGTGTCTGGCAGATTACGGGCCCTCCCTAGCTGCTGCCAGGCCCCTCATCTGCCATGGGCCCCTATATACCCGCCTCCCTCATGCTGCTGCCGAGGTCAGAGGTCTCTCCATGGGTTCCTGTACGTCCTCCCCTTGCTTGCTGTCTCCATCGCCACACTCTGCCATGTGCGGCGCATTTACTTATGTCTCCTCACAAACTTCTGGTGTGTTGAATTTTTTGACATAGGGTGCTGGCAGATTACGGGCCTCCCATAGCTGCTGCCAGGCCCCTGATCTGCCATGGGGCCCCTAACCAACCGCCTCCTCAATGCTGCTGCCAGGTCCACAGTCTCTCATGCCATGTGCCACTTTCAGGTCTCCTCACACTGCTGGTGTGTTTGAATTTTTTGACATAGGGTGCTGGCAGATTACGGGCCTCCCGATAGCTGATGCCAGGCCCCTAATCTGCCATGGGCCCTATATACCGCCCTCCTCATGCTGCTGCAGGTCCAGAGTCTCTCATGGGTCCCTGTACAGCCTCCCATTGCTGCTGTCTCAATCGCCACACTCTGCCATGTGCCACTTTCAGGTCTTACTCACACACTGCTGGTGTGTTCTATTTTTTGACATAGGGTGCTGGCAGATTACGGGGCCTCCCATAGCTGCTGCCAGGCCCCTAATCTGCCATGGGCCCCTATATACCGCCTCCTCATGCTGCTGCCAAGTCCAGAGTCTCTCATGGGTCCCTGTAACGGCCTCCCATTGCTGCTGTCTCCATCGCCACACTCTGCCATGTTTCCAATTTCAGGTCTCCTCACACTGCTGGTGTGTTGAAATTTTTTGACATAGGGTGCTGGCAGATTACGGGGCCCTCCCATAGCTGCTGCCAGGCCCCTGATCTTGCCATGGCCCCTATATACCGCCCTCCTCAATGCTGCTGCCATGGTCCACAGTCTCATGCCATGTGCCACTTTCAGGTCTCTCACACTGCTGGTGTGTTGAATTTTTTGACATAGGGTGCTGGCAGGATTACGGGCCTCCCATAGCTGCTGCCAGGCCCCTGATCTGCCATGGGCCCCTATACCGCCTCCTCATGCTGCTGCCAGGTCCACAGTCTCTCATGCCATGTGCCACTTTCAGGTCTCCTCCACACTGCTGGTGTGTTGAATGTTTTTGACCATAGGGTGCTGGCAGATTACGGGCCTCCCATAGCTGCTGCCAGGCCCCTAATCTGCCATGGGCCCCTTTATATACCGCCTCCTCATGCTGCTGCCATGGGGTCCAGAGTCTCTCATGGGTCCCTGTACGGCCTCCCATTGCTGCTGTCTCCATCGCCACACTCTGCCATGTGCCACTTTCAGGTCTCCTCACACACTGCTGGTGTGTTGAAATTTTTTGACATAGGGTGCTGGCAGATGATTACGGGGCCTCCCATTGCTGCTGCCAGGCCCGTATCTGCCATGGGCCCCCGTACCGACTCCTCCTCATGCTGTGACGTTGCAACCAAGGTGGAATTCAACCCTACATATGTTAGGAACCCGCCTTTACGAACAGCAAAAGGCCATCTCACAGATTTCCTGATGTTAAAAGCGGATAAGGTACTCCCTGTGTAACTTTAGATGTCAGCCATTGGCAGCTCATGGTGACACCTGCGCTTGCTCAGGCCCTTTGAGGAGGCCACGCTATTCGTGAGTCGGCAGGACTATGGGATGAACTACGTCGTCATTCACTCTGTTGCACGTCCTGGAACAAATGCTGTTAATAATGGCTGGTCAGGGTGCGGTAGACGTGGCGCACAGATCTCAACGCCACATGACCCATGTGGGGGCAGGACAGGAAGTAAAGGAGGAGGTAGAGGAGGACATTGGTACTCAGGAATTATTGAGTGAAATGGGTGGCTTTTTTCCACTCAGCGGACAGACGAGTGGAGGAGCAGGAGCATCTGGTAGAGGAGGAGGAAGAGGAGACAGAAGGACCCAGACGCACCGTGGCAGTATGCTGTGGAGATGGAGGCAGGGAGTCCCTCTCATTCCTTGGCACAAATGGCCCATAGCATGCTCGCTTGCTTGCGTAGCGACAGCCGAATAAATAACCATCAGACAGAGGGATGACTTTTGGCTGTCCACCTTGTTGGACCCTCGCTACCGTTCCAAAATGGTGGCCTTTTTCACACTCAGCTGCTGTGGAGGGAGGCCAAAATAAGTACATATAAAACCCACCTATGTAGTCAGCTGGTCTCTGTCTGTCTGCGCAACGTCCATCCTCAGACACTGTTGGGCCCTGTTGCGCTCGCGTTACACTGCCATGGCAGCAGGGGAGGGGTGGGGGTGGTAGGAGCAGTGGCAGCTCCACCAGCAGCAGCTGCCTCAGTCTGCACGTCGATGATGAGTAGCTTTCTTCACCAGCGCAGTGAGGAAACTAATAACCAGCCGCAGCAGCAGCAGCATCAGGTGGGACCTGGAGCAGGACCTCAAACAACCAGGCTTAGGCCTACTTGGACAGCACTCTGCCAACCGAGGTAAGGACAATCCCCCTTGAATACTGGCAACGAAACTTGACCTGTGGCCCCAACTAGCTGAATTTGCCCTTGAAAGGCTGTCATGCCCGGCCAGTAGCGTGGCATCGGAGCGCGTGTTTAGTGCGGCAGGAGGTATTGCAACTCCGCCGGGAGGACACGACTGTCCACCCAAAGTGTGGAGAGACTCACGTTTGTGAAAATGAATCAGGCGTGGATTAAGTCTGGATTTCTAAACCACCAGTTCCTGACACAAATGACTAAATCCGCCATGAATCATGCCCCAAACATGTGCCACTTTCAGGTCTCCTCACACTGCTGGTGTGTTCCATTTTTGTCATAGGGTGCTGGCAGATTACGGGCCTCCCATAGCTGTGCCAGGCCCCTAATCTGCCATGGGCCCCTATACCGCCTCCTCATGCTGCTGCCAAGTCCAGATTGAGTCTGTCATGGGTCCCTGTACGGCCTCCCATTGCTGCTGTCTCCATCGCCACACTCTGCCATGTGCCACTTTCAGGTCTCCTCACACTGCTGGTGTGTTCAATTTTTTGACATAGGGTGCTGGCAGATTACGGGCCTCCCATAGCTGCTGCCAGGCCCCTAATCTGCCATGGGCCCTTATACCGCCTCCTCATGCTGCTGCCAAGCCCCCCCCCCCCCCGTCCAGAGTCTGTCATGGGTCCCTGTACGACGGCCTCCCATTGCTGCTGTCTCCATCGCCACACTCTGCCATGTGCCACTTTCAGGTCTCCTCACACATGCTGGTGTGTTCCATTTTTTGTCATAGGGTGCTGACAGATTACGGGCCTTCCCCATTGCTGCTGCCAGGCCTGTAATCTGCCATGGGCCCCCCCGTACCGCCTGGTCACGCTGCTGCTGGGTCCCACAGTGTGACATGGGTCCCTGTACTGCCTCCCATTGCTTTTCCCACTCTGCCATGTGCCACTTTGAGGTCTCCTCACACTCCTGCTGTTTTCCATTTTGTCATAGGTTGCTGGCAGATTACAGGCCTCCCATAGGTGCTGCCAGGCCCCAAATCTGCCATGGGCCCCGTACCGCCTCGTCACGCTGCTGCTGGGTCCACAGTGTGACATGGGTCCCCTGTACCGCCTCCCATTGCTCCCACTCTGCCATGTGCCACTTTGAGTCTCATCACACTCCTGCTGGTTTCCATTTTGTCATAGGTTGCTGTATGGCCTCCCATTGCTGCTGCCCCTCCACCGCCACACTGTGGCTCCAAACACTGGTTTTGGCCCCGTGACTGGCCAAATGAGTGAAGTGTGCGGTGATTCTAAGATCGACGGCACTCATCTGCATGTCATACTGACTGACAGTATTATTTCTCTTCCCCAGCAGACTCCAAGGGCATTTAAATTAAAAGGTACAGTGTTCTGCACTAATATTAAGTCTCTCTGAAGCCTAGAAACCCACCCTTTTTTAAGTTAAATTCACAGCAAATATATTCGACTCGAATCGAATATTGTCCACGAATTCGCCGAATCAGTCAAATCGAATTTTTGAATACTTCGCTCATCTCTATTAATCACCACTGGGTGTTTTATTTTTTGCACTATAAGCAAAAAAATTTGAAAAAAAATTTCTTTGTTTCTATTATAACGGCTTGCGAGCGTCCCGTACTCAAGAGCCGCAAAATCATATCATATATAATATATATATATATATATATATATATATATATATATATATATATAATTTTGCACACCCGTGCCACCCTGTAGCAGTATTTCTGCTATAGGGCAGCACGGAAGTGGTTAATATTAAATATATTAAATATATATTTGAATGGGGAATACAGTTGCAAGAAAAAGTATGTGAACTCCTTGGGATTACGTGGAGTTTTGCATGAATTGGGCATAAAATGTGCTCTGAACGTCATCTAAGTCACAACAATAGAAGAACACAGTCTGCTGAACATAATACTACACACAAACATTAGATGTTGCCATGGTTTAATTGCACATAACATGTAAACATTCACAGTGCAGGGAGGAAAAAGTATGTGAGGCCCTAGCTTAATGACTTCTCCCAGAGCTAATTGGAGCCAGGAGTGAGCCAACCTTGACTCCAATCAGTGTGATGATATTGGATGTGTTGCTGACAGCTGTCCTGCCCTTAAAAAAACACACACACCTGTTTTGGGTTTGCTGGTTTCAAGAAGCACTGTCTGATGTGAACCATGCCTCGCAGAAAAGAGCTCTCAGAAAGACCTACGATCAAGAATTGTTGACTTGCATGAAGCTGGAAAGGGTTACAAAAGTATCTCCAAAAGCCTTGATGTTCATGTGTCCACGGTAAGACACACTTTCTACAAATGGAGAAAGTTTAGCACTGTTGCTACTCTCCCTAGGCGTGGTCGTCCTGTAAAAATGACTGCAAGAGCACAGCGCAGAATGCTGCACGAGGTAAAGAAGAATCCCAGAGTGTCAGCTAAAGACCTACAGAAATCTCTGGCACATGCTAACATTTTTGTTGACACATCTACAATAAGGAAAACATTAAACAAGAATGGAGTACATGGGAGTACGTGGGAGGACACCACGGAGGAAGCCATTGCTGTCCAAAAAGAATATTGCAGCACATTTGAAGTTTGCAAAAGAGCACCTGGATGTTCCACAGCACTACTGGCAAAATATACTGTGGACAGATGAAACCAAGAGTGAGTTGTTTGGGAAGAACACACAACACTATGTGTGGAGAAAAAAAGACACAGCACACCAACATCAAAACCTCATCCCCACTGTAAAACATGGCGGAGGGAGCATCATGGTTTGGGGCTGCTTTGCTGCCTCAGGGCCTGAACGGATTGTTGTCATTGATGGTAAAATGAATTCCAGAGTTTATCAAGACATTTTGCAGGAAAACGTACGACCATCTGAAGCTCCGCAGAGGATTGGGTGATGCAACAGGACAATGACCCAAAGCATACAAGTAATTCAACAAAACAATGGCTGCAACAGCACAGAATACGGCTTCTGGAGTGGCCCAGTCAGAGTCCTGACCTCAACCCGATTGAAATGCTCTGGCATGACCTTAAGAGAGCGATTCACACCAGACATCCCAAGAATATTGCTACACTGAAACAGTTTTGTGAAGAGGAGTGGTCCAAAATTACTCCAGATCGTTGTGCAGGTCTGATCTGCAACTACAGGAAACGTTTGGTTGAGGTTATTGCTGCCAAAGGAGGGTCAACCAGTTATTAAGGCCAAAGGTTCACATACTTTTTCCTCCCTGCACTGTGAATGTTTACATGTTATGTGTAATTAAACCATGGCAACATCTAATCTTTGTGTAGTATTATGTTCAGCAGACTGTGTTCTTCTATTGTTGTGACTTAGATGATGTTCAGAGCACATTTTATGCCCAATTCATGCAAAACTCCACGTAATCCTAAGGGGTTCACATACTTTTTCTTGCAACTGTATCATACCAAACAAATCAAGGTGCATACATGACTAAGCTAGCACATATGAAAAGGGAGATAGCAGTCTCCTACCTCCTGTGTTTAGTATCCCTGGACACAAAATATAATGCTGAACAATAATCTACCAGTTTCCAGACTGCAATTTATACATAGTGGAAGATATTAATATTAGTATAAAACTGTGTGTAAAGGAGGGCCACAATACTGTCATAAACGTGGTGACCTCCCAGACACCACCCCTTAAATCGGATGATTAGTCAGATGGTCTCTGTCAACACCACTTTGATACCACAGAAAAAGGAAATGTCAGAGCCTTTTAACAGCTCTCGTGTACCAGCAATGAAAGAACATCTGTCAAGTTATGAGAGCCGATAACACCTTGCTTATTGACTGAAATCTGCTACCTGTCTGTGGTGACAGTGCATGTTGCAGACGTGTATTCTAAAATCATAGTTGTTAATGCTATGAATGTGAGTTTCCTCCTTCTCAGTAAAATTGCAGTGGTCGCATCTAAATGGTTAATTGCTTAATTAACTTAACCCAGTGACAATCGCTCTCAGGCTGCTGGCACCTAGATTGTGGTCCCAGGAGCTGGACAATCTTTGTGCAGGGTGCAGCTGAGCATGGCATTGCTGCTTAAGTGACAATACGGTGTGAAATTGGCCAGTCCTTTGTCATGAGTTGGTGAGAAGGGCAGGGGTCGGGCACCATGTTCTTCACACACAGTATGCAGTGAAATCAGAGTAATTTCGTTCCAAGAGACGAACCTGTACACAGGGGCAGACTGACAACTCATGGGGCCCCCGGGCAATAGGGGATCATAGGGCCCCTGTGTCCTTGCCCAAACTCAAAAAAGCCTATGAAAAAGGTACCAGGGGCATCTCATGGGGCCCCCTACTGACCCCGGGCCCTCGGGCAGTGCCCGAATTTCCAAATGGTCAATCCACCCCTGCCTGTACAACTGTGACAGACTGAAGGCATGGCTGGAGTTCAGCCTTAAAGTGATACCAAAGATAAAAATGTTTTTTACCTTAATGCATTCTTTGCATTGAGATAATAAAACGTTTAATATTTCTCTGTCCTCCACCTTCCCTGTGTGAAGGGGAACGGAGTGGAGAAGAGATCAGCGATGTGCATGGCTGCATGTCTTCTCCTCTCTCTTCCTCTTTACACAGGGACTCGAACAGTAACAGGAACCATTTGCTCCTGCTGCTGTCAATCAAGTGTAGTGAGGAGGAAGTAGGGTGCTTGGCTAAGTCCCACTGTGTGTGTCTATAGAGCATGGCTCCATAGACACACAGCTCGGGAGCGAGCAGACACCGTGTACCTCCATAGCAAACAGCTGAACGATGGAAACTAACTGCTGGAAAATGTAGGTAAAAAAACATATGTTTAGCCGCGTTTGCATAATGTGTTAATGGACGTTTATGTACATTTGCATTTAGAAGCGTTTTTTAAAGTTAAGCACAGGAGAACCACCCAAATGCCCATAATGCACTGAAAAGTGGTAAATTATTAACTATTTCAGACTGTTTCAAAGAAATACAGAGAGTAGAAGCAGAGATAGCAGGATGTGTTGAGATTAGCTTAGGTGTGAGTGTCTCATTAATATTTCTTTTGTTTCCAAGGGTGGGAAGGTGTCTAGTGGAGTGAGTCATTAAGGCCACCTGGCAGGGGGTCTTCATGAGGAATTTGAGGTGTGAGGTATCTTTTGTTTCCAAGGGTGGTCTGAGGTGTGAATTGGTCTTTACAATGTGTGACTAGCTTGGTAGGAACATCCTGTGTTCAGTGTTTTGTCCATCTGAGTATCTTGAAAACGCTTTGCATGCATTTGTCATGATGAATAAAGGCTCTGGACAGCATTGAGAACTGGAAGAGTTAAACAAAAATGTTCACACGCAAATGCTTATAAACGCGATTTGCCACATTTAGCCATGTTTACAAGAGATTTGCGTTTGAAACGCTGATAAAATCTACTCCTGAACGCAAGTTTTCTGCATTCAAAAAAACGACTGTAAACTGAAATGCCTGTAAACACCTGTAAACGAAGATGTGTACATGGACAGATTGGAAAACATAGGGAGAGTTCAGGGGCTGCTGAAAAAAACTCT